CATGAAAAGGGCCCAAAAAAAAACAAACATAAAAAAAAAATATATATATATATATTATTAAAAGGTAACTTGTACTTAAGTTACTTTAGGCAGAAACATTACATTATGATTATTAATATCACTGTAAGTTGACTTTACATACTTTGTCTTTATGCATCATTAATTTAATCGATCCACAGTTTGTTTCAGGTTGACTAAATGTTCCTTCAGAGGACATTGAGCCTGTGCAGCATCACCACAATAAACAAACTGATAATCAATGAATATAATTATTAGTATAATATGAAGGAGTTTTTACAGTTTGTCTGTCGGCTGTTTGAAGCTTCACAACGACACACACACACACACACACACACACACAGCAGATTTATAATGGGAATCTGGATCATAACTGAAAACTCCGCCCACTGTTAGCTTCAAACCCCCCTCCCCCTCAATGACATCACTGCCCCCCCCCCATATATGTGTATCCTGTGTGCATGTTAGCTTTGTGTATGCATTGCCTGTAATTTGTTAGCCTGTGTGTTTAGCGGTGATGCTGTTTTAGCAGTAATCCTCTCTGGCTGCAGTATTATTAAATCTGTTAATCTGATTACAGCAAGGGGGTAGTTTGTGGGGGGGGGGGGGCTCCACAACAGACAGACAGTAATTAAAAACAAACACAAACTAATTTTAATCTAATTAACAGTCTTGACTTAAACGACTTTAGGAGGTTTAATCATACAGGATTCAGCAGATAGAAAATTGGTTGGCATCAGGACAGGACCATCAGGACCAGACCCATTGTTTGTTTCTCGTTTTTCTGTCGACTCTGAACCTCACACATAAAATAAAACTCCAACTTTACTTCTGAAACTTTCAACCAACAACCTTTTCTTCAGTTGTCATGGAGATCGGTCTACCTGTCATCACATGACCAGAATGTGTCATTTTACGTCACTGTGATCTTCCATGACAACACTGCTGATCAAGGACCCATGCGATGTGGGCATCAAAGCTCTGGAACATAAACCGGTAAGAACGCTCTAATCGGGATTCTACATGACCGCTCGGCGGACTCCTTGCTTCAGAAGCTCTGTGAGCTCTGTGGGGCCCCGGCAGCCCCTGCGTTGGCAGGGTATGGAACCCCATGGTTGACCGATAGCAGGTAGGTTTGGAGTAAACTCCCACTGAGCGGGTGAGAATCTCCTGCTTCTTCCTGCAGACGTTACACACCCACATGACCTGAAAATCAACACAGACATTACTGATCATAATCTGATTATCAACACTGATATTACTGGCCAATAATCTAAATTATCTCTCGCAGGTTCTACATGAGATCCTTGGTGGGAGGCCTCCTGCCATGGTCCTGGCTTGACCTGCCATTGGATAATATCACTGATATTATTTTTATTATTTTATTATGATTATTAATTATTATTACTACAGTTACTTTATTACTATTGTCACTGCTCATTGGTCCCCCATCGTTGCTGTCATCATCATATCTTCTTCATTGATCATCATCATCAGTCACACTATTAGTGTAGTTGTTGCTACTGTGTTTGCTGTGCACCTGTCTCTCTCTCTCTCTCCATCTCTCTCTCTTCTCTGTCCTAGGTTTCTGCCTGTTAAAGGCAGGTTTTTCCTTGGCCCTTGTCGCCAAAGGTCTTGCTCATGGTAGGTACTGTTGGGTCTCTGATAAATGTTAAAAGGAGTTCGGTCTAGACCTGCTCTATTTTTTGAAAAGTGTATTTCTCTCCTTTATGATAGTGACAGCTGAAGACAGACAGGAAAGGGGGGCAGAGAGAGGGGATGACACGCAGCAAAGGGCTGCAGGTCGGATTCGAACCCAGGCTGCTGCAGCAACTCCATATGTGGGTCGCCAGCTCTACCGACTGAGCTAACCGGGCGCCCAACTTTTTATTATTTTTAAGGGCGTGATTACTACAGTAATTACTAAAGTAACTATAACAGCTAACACACACAGGCTAACACACACAGGCCAACACACACAGGCCAACACACACAGGCTAACACACACAGTTACTAATGTGGAGCTGAAGGTTCTGTAGAACCAGGTTTCTGCCTTTAATGTGGACTCCTCCCTCTCCACTCTGATTGGTCCATTCTGTGTGATTAACAGGAAGCCCAGCCCCTCGGGGTCGTATTACGATGGTGGGGGAGGGAGGATGCCTCACTCACCCTCTGATCACGGTCCGGACCGCCGCACTCGCTCGCCACACGGTTGGCATGGCAATGGAGAGGAGGAGCTGCGAGGCCGAAGGCGACCAATCAGAGACGGACGAGGTCGCTGGCACTCACAGGTCTGATAGGACAATTGTTTAATAAATGTTTATTGTACTTCCTGTATTTTCATCAGAATGTTGTTCTGATTGCAGCCTGTAGGAGGGGCTAACTGGAGTTTACTCTGATTTTTGTCGCCTTTCCTGGTTCAGGACCACCCTCTGGACCAGGTTCAGGATGAGCGCGAGCGACAGCGGCGGCAGGAGGAGGAGTTTCAGGCTCGTTACCGTAGTGACCCGAACCTGGCTCGTTACCCAGTAAAGCCGCAGCCGAGCGAGGAGGCTATGAGGATGTTGGCTCAGGTTGGCAGGGTCCGCCACCAACGCCGCCACAGCGACGTCTCCCTGGCAACCTCTGAGCCCGACCAACTGACTTTGAGACATACAGGTATAAAGGGATTAGAACCACCAACCTGTTAGTGCCTTGCTTTTTTACAGAGAATAGAACCATCAACCTGCCTTGCTTGAGGGCACCCAGTCTGACTTGCTATTTCACTCTCAGCTGTCCGTCAGAATCGGGTTCAGGGATTGGTCGGCTCTGGAGGTCAAAGGTCGTTCTCTGTGGACCGGGTAGTCAATCATGTCAGCCCCACGTCTCCGCGCCGCAGCCCGTTACCTCAGCAACACCTGGACCCAAGCTCCGCCCTCAAGAGGAAGCCAGCGTATGAGAGTGCAGCACAGAGGGCGCGGCGGATGACCAAGATGCATGTGATTGGTAGCTTCAGCAGCTCGGAAGAGGAGCTAGCGACCACACCTGACTACACCAGCTGTGACGAGCCCGACAGTGAGTTGCTACATGCTAATGTTAGCCACATGAGGCTAGGTGGCTACATGCTAATGTAAGCTACATGAGACTAGGTGGCTACATGTCATAATAAATGAGAGAGTGTGTAGAGGGATTAGGATAGGATGAGGTTAGCAGGGGAAGCTAACGTGATCTCACATTAAAGAGAATGTTAAAGGTTCTGAAAGTTCTAAGTTCTAGAGTCTGTTTGAGAGGACAAAGTGAAAGTGAGAGAGAGACACTGACTTTGTGTACTCTCTCTCCGACAGTAATTAGCTCAGTGTGATAATCTTCTTACAGATAAACTGTGTGTTCCACACTGAACACCTCCTCTAGCACACAGCACAGGGTTCCTGCTAGAACACTGAAAACCAAACACACTCACAGCTCTGTTGGGTTCTGTTTTTACAGGGCTCTTCTATGGTTCTGTAGGGTTCTATCTTTCATGTTCTGGATGGTTCTAATAGTGGTTTCTTTGCTCTTCCCTGGGGTGCTGTCACTGTTCTATAGGGTTCCACATCTACTCTCTATGTTTCTCTATTCTCTAGGGTTCTCCTTAAATTATGTGGGTTTCTTATGCTGTCACATCAAACTCCACTACCATTCCAAAAGATTCAACTCATGGTCTACATGGTTCTCAATCTCTCGTTGATAGGGTTCCTTCGATGTTCCCTCAGGTTCTCCTCTTCTCCTCTGCCCATATGGTTCTCATACTGCTGTAGGGTTCCACTACAGATCAATAAAGTTGTGGAATGTGTTGCAGTTGTGGAACGTGTTGCAGTTGTTGAACATGTTGCAGTTGTTGAACGTGTTTTAGTTGCTGAACGTGTTGCAGTTGTTGAACGTGTTTTAGTTGCTAAATATGTTGCAGTTGCTGAACGTGTTGCAGTTGCTGAACGTGTTGCAGTTGAACGTGTTGCAGTTGAACGTGTTACACTTGCTGAACTTGTTGCAGTTGCTGAAGTAGTTGCAGAACGTGTTGCAGTTGTTGAACGTGTTTTAGTTGCTGAATGTGTTGCAGTTGAACGTGTTGCAGTTGCTGAATGTGTTGCAGTTGCTGAACGTGTTGCAGTTGTTGAACGTGTTGCAGTTGAACGTGTTACACTTGCTGAACTTGTTGCAGTTGCTGAAGTAGTTGCAGTTGCTGAACACATTGCAGTATAATGTGTTGCAGTATAACATGTTGCAGTTGAAAGTGTTGCAGTTGCTGAACGTGTTGCAGTTGCTGGATTCAGTTGTTGAACATGCTGAAGTTGCTGCAGGTTATCTCTCAGGAAGTCAGGCGTCATGCTGACGAGTTAATCTGCTGGTTGCTTGTCATTGGGTCAGAAATCACCTGGTCAGAGATTATGAGCTCTGATTGGCTCAGAGTGTTCTTGGCTCCTCCTCTCAGGTCTGAAGGTTGAAAGAGAAGCTCAGAGTCTCTGCTGCTGCCATCCTGAAAACACGTGGAGACTAACAAGAACCAGGGAAACATTCTACAGATCTTCAAACCTGACTGGCCAGGAGACCCCTGGAGGCTCCTGACAAACCAGTCTGATAATCAGATTCAGGTTAGAACAGGACTGCACCTTCTGCACTGAATCACTCCACTGTTCAATTGGATTAAAGGAGGAGAGTGTGGATTACCCAGCCTGCCTCAGGAGTCACGCAAGAATAGACACAGAGACTGCAGGAGGCAACGCAACTGTGCAACACAATGCATCACCGCAACTGCTGGATCCTCCGCCTGCATGAGGTCTGGTGATTTCCTGGTAAACTCCTTGATTTCTTGGTTTTTGCTGGATTTTGGCACTCTCATCTGGGGGAAAGCTTGGAGGAGGAGGCGGACGGGATCAAGGCTGAAATGTTGCAAACGACTCAGCAACCCCCACCAGCATCCAGTGACCAACCAGATCACTGTTAGACCTCCAAACTAACTGTTTGCACCTGAGGCTGACAACAGGACAATAACAGATTTACAGTGTAACAACAGGCTAATAACAGGGTAACAACAGGTTTATAACAGGGTACCAACAATCTAATAACGGGCTAATAACAACCTTATAATAGGGTAAAAACAGGCAATCAACAGAATAATAAGCAATAGGTTAACTACCAGCAGGGTCTGCTGTAAGAAGGAAGCTAACTCTCCACAAGTTAACAAAAGGTTAATAACATGCTAATACCAGGCTAACAACAGGCTATCTACCAGCAGCATCTGCAGTAAGAAGGACGCTAACTTTCCACAAGCTTATAACAGGCTAGCATTGTGCTAACATCAGGCTAACAGTGAGAGAGGAAGATGGTTTCAGTGTTTAGTTAATCTCATTACAGACAGGCATGAACTGCTCTGCAGCCTACAGGCAGAGCTCACGGCAGCAAACACCCACAGAAATAGTGAGGAGGAGGAGAGAGGAGCTGCAGGATCACCCCCTCCTCTTCATCTTCCTTCACTTCCTCTGCTGAATTCTCCTCCTCCTCCTCCTCCTGCCTGCCTCTGCCTTCCTCCTCTCTTCTTCTTCATCTTCGTCCATCATTTGTCGATACAGACCTGTTGGGAGTACAGGCAGGTGTGTGTGCTGTAGTGTGTGGTGTTGTTTCAGAACCTTCTCATGGGAGGGTTTGGACTTTAACATGCAGAGAGAACAATGAGAGAACCTTTCAGATCTTTATGTGTTCACTAAAATAACTGATGAATAACTGAAAGATTCACAAAAAAGGTGGGTTTCTTCGTGTTTCTTCTTTTCAGGGTTCTCAGGTTGTTCTTTCCTTTCTGGGTTCTGCTGTTGTTCTCCTGTTCTGGGTTCTGCCTGTTTTCTTTTCCTGTGCCAGGGGTGCTCTGGTGTTCTTCCTGTCCAGTGTTACTGCTGTTGTTCTTTGCTGTTCAGGGTTCTGATGTTGTTCCTTCTGTCCAGGAGTTCTGGCTGATGTTGTTTTGCCTTTGTCCAGGTTTTCTCTTGGTCGTTCCTCCTGTCCAGGGTTTTCTGGTTGTTCTTCTGCTCTGGGTTTCTTGCTGTTGTTTCTCCTATTTCAGGTTGTCTTGGGGTTTTCTTCCTGTTCAGGGTTCTGCTGTTGTTCTTCCTGTCCCAGGGTTCTGCTGTCGGTTCATCCTGTCAGGTTCTTGCTGTTGTTCCTGCGTCCAGGGTTCTCTGGATGTTTTGCCTGTTATTGGGTTCTGCTGGTCTGCTGTTGTTCCTTCCTGTCCAGGATTCTGCTGGTTGTTTCCTTCATGTTCTGGTTCTGCTGGTTGTCTTCTTGTCCCAGGTTCTGCTGTTGTTCCTTCTGTCCAGGGTCTCTCGGTTGTTCCTTCTGTCCAGGGTCTCTGGTTGTTCTTTCTTGTCCATTGGGTTCTCTGTTGTTGCTTCCTGTCCAGTTTCGGCTGTTTTCTTGCCTTGGTCCACGGGTTTCTCTGGTTGTTATAATTCGTCCAGGGTTTGGCTGTTGTTCCTTCCTGTCCACGGTTCTCTGGTGGTTCCTGCTGTCAGTCTCTGGTTGTTTTCCTTGGTCCAGGGTGGTCTCTGGTTAGTTCTAACTGTCCAGGGTTCTCTGGTTGTTCTTTCCTGTCCATGGTTCTTTGGTTGTTTAACTGTGCAGTCTCAGTTTGCTCTAAACTGTCCAGTTTCTGCTGTTGTTCTTCCCTGGTTCTGGTTCTGCTGTTTCTCCTGTCCATACTGCTGTTGTTCTTCCTGTCCAGTGTTCTGCGGTTGTTCTGACGGGTCCAGGTTCTCTGGTTGTAATAAAAGTTCTCACTGTGAAATTAGTTTCTACTTTGAAAACTACATTATCAAGGGTGTGGGTGTTGACCTCTGATTGGGTCTTTTTCTGCTCGGTTGCTAGAGACATGGTGGACGGCCAATGGTGGGATCACGGTGCCTGGCAGGCAGCCTGGCGGCCGGATGTCTATGGGTATGAGTGAAAACCCTGAAACTTTCCAATAAACCAAGTCACCGGTAAATAAAATAAAACTGTGTGGTTCGTGGATTCGTTGGAAGATTGAGGGGCCAGTGACCATCAGGCATCCCGAAAGTTGCTGAACGTGTATCCATTATTTGTGGTATAAAAGTTAAAAAATGTGACAGGTACAGGCCATACCATTTAACATTGGAGCTTATAGTAGCAGTTGGTTCGAACTCACAGAGCCCACAAGTCTGTTTGGGATGCCCAAATTACATCTGGTACGACACAGGCAAAACATGCCTCCTAAATTTTGGTTACATAATTATGGACTGCAGGATGGAAATTTGTGAATGGAGAGCTAAGTTGAAGAGAAATGTTATTGTTAGAGGAGTAGGAGAAACAACCCTTCCCGAGCCCTACAATTAATATTAATATACGAGAGCAGCTGTCAGTTCTGAGCCTCAAACCAGCAGAACTTTATACTTACAATGTACTGAACTTGACCAAGCTCAGAGGTTACCCACCAATCAACAGGCCTGCAGGTTCCTTCTAGATGTCACTTAGAGGGCTGCAAAGCAGTGAGTCAGTCTGCCATTTAAGGCTCATATTAAAAACTTTCCCCTTTACATGGGGTTAAAGATTAAAAGGTTAAAAAAAGCAGAATTCAAGGGCAATGGGTTGCTTTGAGTGGGACAGGTGGGTTGTTTTCGAGTAACTATCCTCTTGGAACCATAGCAACCCCATATGTTTTTACCATTCGAGGCATCCAGTCACATGGCACAAGCCGTCCAAGGACTGGAGAGCGTGCTGAGTGTGGTTCTGATTCTGCTGAATAAGGAGGATGAACGGATGGAACAGTTCCCGCGGCATAAAGTATAGGTAGGACTGTTAAAAATCAAGAGCAGATAGGTGCTGACAAGACTATGTGAAAATACCATCAATACTTATAATGATGGTATGAGTGACGCTTCTTTCTTCGTTCTTACTTTTCTT